CTTAAGGGGTCTATAAGGGATCTATAGTAGGGTTCTATGCTATAGGGGCCTTCATGAGTAGACTAGGGTTGTGGGGCCCATGATACTATCATCGTAAAAAGGAACTCCCAACATGGTATTGGTTATTATTTAGGCCCTAATATTGGCTTCAGGGCTTCGGGCCTGCATACATTCCAACCGAGATATCTTGCAGACCCTACACACTGAACCCTCAGCCGTATGGACCCTGTCCCTTGCAAAACCCTACAGAGCCTTCAAAACACAAAACCCTACACCGTAAACCCTAAAACTCGACAGCTCTGGAACCATGAAACCCCACAGTCCTGAACCCCTAAAGCCCTAAACACCTAAACCCTAAAACCCTAGACCTTAAACCCTTGAAGCCCAGAGTCCCTAAAGCCCTAAAAACGCCCCAATGACAGTAAGCATCTCTTGTAGCATAGGAACCCTATAAGCATTAAGATAGAGCCCTACTAAACCCTAAACCCTATCCCCTAAACCCTAAACCTTAAACCCTAAACCCTAAACCCTAAACCCTAAGCCCTAAACCCTAAACCCTAAGCCCTAAACCCTAATCCTTAAACCCTAAGCCCTAAACCCTACCTTAAGCCCTAAGCCCTAAACCCTATTTTGCATCCTTTCGCTGCCCGACTGCCAGAGAGGCCCACTGGCCTTCGGCCCAAAGAATGCCTGGGCTCTAGGGTTTAGGGGTTTAGGGGTTTTGGGGTTTTGGGGTTTAGGGTTTAGGGGTTTAGAGGTTTATGGGTTTTGGGGTTGAGGGGTTTTGGGGTTGAGGGGTTTTGGGGTTTAGGGGTTTAGGGTTTAGGGTATAGGGTATGGGGTCGAAGGTAGTGGATCTATTGCTGTTTGATCACGAATAATAGTGCAATCCCAGTGTTATTATGGTGACTACCGTTAGTGTCATGACTATTGTTTTTGCTATTGATACTGTTGTGGCTGTTCGTGTTTGCATGGAAGAAGATAAATCATTATGGGTATTGCGATTCGCTATAGCCATATTACAACTTAAGGTCAGATTTATTACGATTGCTATCTTTGAGATCATGGTATGACTTGGATGAGTATGCTGAAAATATGATTGTTGCGATCATGTACTACTATGAGTACTATGGCATGACCACAATTTCGTGTAAACAGTACAGGGGCCTTGATAAATAGAATAGGGTTTGGGCATATAGTATGCTATAACTATAATGAGGAAACCCCCGAAATAGTATTGGTAATCATTTGGGAGTTTCCGATAACAGGGGACCCTAATATAATACCCTAAATAGTAGGATCCTCATTATCAGGACCCCAAAATAAGGTACCCCTAATTTTCGGAAACTTCCATTTAGGCCTCTATATTAAACGACGCAGTTCAAAGTCGAGGACAACGAGTCTACTTGGAGGGTCGGGGGACTTTGTAAGTAGGTAGTAAGTAGACTTATAAGTACCCTAAAAGGGGCCCTAATTGGGGTTATGGTACTTATAAGTCCCGAAAATAACCAGTTACTAAGTCCCCCGACCCTCCAAGTAGGCTTTCGGGGCTTGAATCGGCTTTGGTCACTGCTTCACGCCCCAGGGTTTAGGGTTTAGGGTTCCTTTCAAAGGTCTATAATGGCTACAATAAGGGATCTATAAGAGGGTTCCATATAGGGACCTTAATAATTAGAATCGGGCTGGGGCCCATTATACTACAGGGTCCCGATCAGAGTACAGGGGCCTCCTCCATGAAGGGAAGACGCTTGTGCCACGTACACCGTGAAGCATGAACCCTAAAGGACCCATAGAACCCTGGTAGAACCATTCTATCACCCATTAAACTAAGCCTGAAAGAACCCCAAAACCCATAAGGATGATTAAAGCCACCAAAAAAATCCCATAAATCCGAGACACTGAACCCCAAGCTTCAAAACTCCAGCACCCTAACATAGGGGTCTTACTAGTTAGAATACGGTTTGCGGGTATACTGTACTATAATCATAATAATCATAATAAGGAACCCCAAAAATAGTATTGGAAATTTTAAGTGAAGACCCTATAGAAAACCTCAAACCTTAAGCCTTGACCCCTAGACCTCCCTGAACCCTGGAAACCCTAAACCTCGGGTTTAGGTTTTAGAGTTTAGGGTGCAGGGTTTAGAGCCCGCAAACCCTATAAGCCCTGAAAAGCCCCCACGGCCCGAAACTTCCCAGAGACTCCAATATCCCTTAATTAAGGAATGTACCTTAAATCATAGTATACCGTAGGGGTCCTATTATAATTTAGGGTATATTCCTTAATTAAGGGATATACCTTAAATCATAGTAGGGATCCTATAATAATTTATATACGGTGTATCCCTTAACTAAGGAATAGGGTTCCCTGCCGACAAGGCGCAGCTGCGCGGCCGTTGGGAAGATCAAAGAGCCCCCCAAGGGCAAGCAAATTCAGGGCTAAGGGCTCCTTTAAGGGGATCTATGAGGATTGCACAAGGGCTCTGTTGAAGAGATCTAGGTATAAGGGTTCTATATGGGCTTTTTGAAAGCGGGATCTATGCAGGTTCTATCAGGGCTGTTTTCGAGCGATCAAACATACTATAAGGGTTCTCTATGGGCTCCTGTAAAGAGATCTATGAGAGTTCTCTAGGGGCTCCTTTACATGGATCTACCAGGGTTCTATACTTTAAAGGATTCTAAGAGCATTTTCTACGGGTTCCTGCAAAGGCATCAAGGAATCTATACGGCCCCTTCGAAGTGATCTATAAGAGTTCTATGTGGCCTCCTTCAGGGTTCGAGGATTTGAGACTGGATCCTGAAACGGATCTACAGAGCGTGTACAGGTTGCCTCAACGGGCAAAGGATCTACTGACTGAGGCTATTAGGGTACTATAGCCCCTTAGGCTTGTAGAACTAAGGGTTCAGGGAATTTCGGGCTTAGGGCTGAGGAAGTTTGGGGCTGAGAGTTGGGGAATTAGGGTTTGGGACTTCGGTTTAGGGCTCTGGGAGTATGGGGTTCAGGGTTTTAGGTTCTTGTGTTGCGGGTCAGGTTTGAGGACTTTGGGTTGTGCAGGGTTGTATGGCCTGGTGAGGAGATGTGGGAGTTTCCGAAAATTGGGGTACCTTATTTTGGGGCACTTGTAATAGGGATCCACCTACTTAGGGTACTATATTAGGGTCCCCTATTTTCGGAAACTCCCAGATGTAGGATTCAGTGCCAGTCGTGGGTTTAGGGTGAGGACTTAGGCTACATAGAGGACCATGGGACTTAGTAACTAGGGTTATAACCAAGGTAGCTGTACTTATAACTACTTATAACCCAGCTTGAGGTACTTAGAACCATTCTTACTAAGCCGCATGATCCTCCAAGTAGAGGGGATGAGGCGTGGAGACAGCGCGAGCAGGGAGTAGAGCCCGGGCTTTGGGAGTGAGAATTCCTCCCACTCTCGCGTCATCGAACCGACTGAGGCTTCAGAGGCTTCCGTGCTTTAGGAGTTCTGAGGTTCAGGGTTCGGGTTTAGGGTTTCGTTTAGGGTTTAGAGTTTTGGGTTTAGGGTTTAGGGTTTAGGAGTTCAGCGGTTCAGGAGGGGTTTAGGGCTCAGGGCTCGGGGGGGATTTGCTCACCACTGGATAGGCTCCCGCATGAAACGACGCTGATGCTCCACACCAAGTCAGCGCTGTTCGCCCTACACCCTAAACCCTAAACCCTAAACCCCTAAACCCTAAACCCCTGAACCCTAAACCCCTAAACCCTAAACCCTAAACCCAAACCTTGCCATAAGGACTACTATAGGCTAAACCCTAAGCACCAGACAGTTGTGGACATGAGCTTTTTGGATAGGTATCATACAAGAGTTCGTTGAAGCCAAAGTACCGCCAACCGCAATGACGTATATGTTATAGATAATATAGATAGGCATACTCACACCAGTACTAACATTACATAAGACTAACTCCCTAAACCCTAAACCCTAAGTAACTGCTTCAACCTTGTATCCTCTACGACTTCTGGAGAACGGCGCCGCGGCTGAGCAGTAGCCAAGCAGCGATGCTTGTGAGCGCATGCCGAAGCTTAAGGCGGCTCTGGTCTAGGCTTACCTCGGTTTAGGGTTTAGGGATTTAGGGTTTAGGGGCTTAGGGTTTAGGGGTTAGGGGTTTAGGGTTTAGGGTTTCGGTTAACCTCTTTAACGGCTATACTCAGGCTTCGGAACGGGTGTCCACAGGGTTCGTCCTACGGTATGTCAGTCTTGCCTGAGGTGTGAGGATGTTTGGATGTTAGGCTTTAAGATTTGGGTTTTGGAGTCTTGGGTTTGGGGTATGATCATAGGCTAGGCTCATTTACATAAGTATTCATATTCTCCATCTGAGTGTATGCATCCATGTATACATATATGTATGTGTGACACATTGCCGTGCACAGCATGTGTACATCCATATCTGCGGATCTGTGTATATGCACCCGGCAGAGAGTGATACATACCAGCATTGATTATACGAGCACGGTCCCGTAGCCGATACGTGCGTGTACATATGAGCGTGTGTGAGTACATATGATACGTATTCATATACAAGTTCATAGAAGTGCATGTGCACTAGTAAAGTACTAATGATGTGTAGTTTGGTTTGGCCTAGGGGTCTATGTTGTGTGTTGAGAAATAGGCCATAGGCCCCTCAACCAGTCGGTGTAGTCGGTGCCGGGGAAGCTTCAGCAGCTCTCGGCCGATAAAAGTCGGCAGGTGCCAGGCTCTGCACCAAAAGCACAAAAGTGAAGCTAGATGCCTCGATCTCTTGCCGAACAGGGTTGTCCTTTTTGAGCTCTGCGTTCTTCGCTAAAGGGGGCAACCCTGTTGCCCAAAATCTCAGTCAAAAGATGCCATTAACGAAGACTAAGACTCCAGGGTCTCAGAATTGAGCCCTGAAACGGAACCGATGCGTGGGAAAAAAGAGCTCCGCTCTTCCACGGCAGGATAGATCTATGCACACCTTGATTTCCATATATTTTTTTTGGAAGCAGCCGGT